CAATCCCAACGATCCTCGAGCTTGGAAAAGTTGGGCATAACGCGGGACAACCATAGCGGGAACGATGAGGCGGTCCAATAGATCCTCATCCTAAGCACGCTTTGACAGGCTCAACCTTGGTCATTCCTGATTTCCGTGACTCCACTCCACTCATCAAGCTCATTGGGGCCGTTGATGTGGGAACACGGCACAGACTTGGTGGCACTCGTCAACCATCCGGATTACTATTTGATCAATCAAAGCCGTAAGGTCACCTTATAGACGCGATGGCACAGCCCTAAATCAGACGCATTGGGGGTTTACCATAGTCTCAAACCAGATCGCGTTACTTTGACCAAAGTGTCATAGGCTCTAAGAAGCCCTCATCTCCAATATCGGGTTCAAAATGCTCGTGGCTGTTCTCTGGCTCTCGGAGTCGCACTGGGGTATACTCCTCAGTCTCACTGCATATATATCACCAACCGACATTGATACATCCTCGCATAACTCAATTACCCAAAGAAATGCATGAGATAACCACTCAAGAAAACTCATACGACGTCTGGATCGATTGATAGTCAGCGAAGTTGAAAGGCATTCAGCGATAAACCCGGCCGGCAGGTATACTAACAACAAAGCCCGAAAAGACTAAGACAATGGAAGCCCCTTAAGCGCAGATAATGTAAGGATATAAAGCTTCCGGCTCGAAATGCACAGTGAATACTTCTTTACTATGATAAGTTGATTTTTCTCGGGATATGATATTGATCTCAGGTTTTTTCATCAAGAGGACAAGTCAACAACAACATTAGATAAGTATGTTATGATCATCATGATTTTAATCTACATTCGATAACAGAAGAAAGCAAGCAACGATATGAAACCTTTCTTGATTACTAATAATACTCCAGAACCATCCGATTTCATGAATAGGATCACGTACATTTACCGGACGGAAAGGAGGCTTCTTTGCATTTAGTTAACAACGGATGCATGTTCCAAGATCCTCAAGAGTTCATCGAGCACTTTTCCAGTTCTTTCAAGTCGTCCGGCTACATCTCTTACTTCTACTTCCTCAGCTCGAGCTTTTAATTGTTTGTCGAGTTCCACCAATTCCTGAGCTCGTTCGATAGCTTGATCAGGTGATTCGGGAAGACTTGGTTTAGGTACGGTAGGTGGTTTGGTCTGGGTGGGAATGCATTGAATGCCGATGGTAGATGAGAGGTTGGAGACCAGGCTCGGATTCTGGTCTAATTGGTCAAGGTCTTCTAGTATCGGACCCAAACTAAGGCTAGGACCTGGATTTTGAGACATTTTCAAGTTTTGAATGTTGATGTTTGGACAGCTGATGATGGTGACTTGAATTGAGAAGGGTAGACTATCGAATATCGAATATCGAATATCGAATATCGAATTAATTATTTGGTTTTTTTTATTTTAATGTTTATATTTTATTGTTTATATTTTAATGTTTTTATTTTGTTGTTTTTATTTTAATGTTTTTATTTTGTTCTTTTTATTTTATTGTTTTAATTTTAATGTTTTTATTTTACTTAATGGCAATGAGCTCAACCAAATTGTGAAGCAATTCAGGCCCCGTGTCCACGTCCCGAGCTGGGAGGCACGAGTAGCTACAGTACAGTTACAGTACCGATACCCTCCACACTCAAACTCAAACTCCAACCCAGATTCTCTGGTTGTTGGTCACGATCACGAACTCAAGCAAACCCAAACCACTTGTACCAACCACACTATCACCAACATCACGGAAACCAATATCATTATCTGAAACAAAATCATGACTGGCGTACGTGAGTTTTTCCAGTATATTTTTCTATCGACGGGTCACGCTAGAACAGTTGAAAAAAAAAAAAGAAAAAACTGTCCATCACATAATATCTCTACCATCGACTGAAAACTCAAATAACATTTGATCTGTAGATGACTTGGATGATGTCAAGTTAGACTTGGATGGACCAATTCAATCAAGTAGTGGTATATCAACAGCTCAACCTACACGTTCTCAAGCTCGAGCTCGATTGAACGCAAGCAAAGTGAACACAAAACTCGAGTATTATCTTACCATTGCTAAGACTGTCAAAGGAGCTAGTGCAGTGAAATTGATAGGAGATATCCTATCTTCTAGTGGAGTTTATGTCTTTGGTGAATTTCTCGACGTTCCTGGTATTGCAGAGGTATGCTGTCTTCTTTTTTTATTACATCGTGATGTTGAATTCACATCCATACGGTTTTGTTCCAAAATTTAGTTAGCCGTACATGAGCCTCACTCTCGTTACCACCATTTACTTGAGATCTTTGCGTTCGGAACATGGAAAGATTATCAAGGTAAGTAGAACTGATCTTTGATCATCGCCACAGCTCCCAGTCTCACAGTTGCACGATCAATCATTCCAGATAACGCATCAACTCTTCCGGAGTTGAATGCTTCTCAAGCAACTAAACTGAAGCAACTATCTGTTATCACACGTGCTTCCCACTCAAGAGTTCTGTTACTTTGCTTACCTGTCTTTTCTCGTCTACCAACAAAGTTTCTGCAATCATACTGATACGCTATGGGTATGTTGAACAGGTCATTCCTTACGCCGACCTACTCGTTAGCTTAGAGATTGGAACTTTTCAAGAACTTGAAGAACTGATCATCGATGCCATCTACTCCAACATCATTGAAGCCAAACTCGATCAAAAATATCTTCAAGTCGAAATGGAGAGTTGTATCGGACGAGACGTTAGGCCAGATGCCTCGTCCGCCTTGAACGGAAAAGAGATTGAGATGAACGGCCCTCTTGGTCCGAACAAGGATGTTCATCCTACAGGAAGTGTGTTAGAGTTGCGTTCCAAACTTCAATCGTGGACGGACAGCGTGGGGGGAGTCTTGGATCAATTAGATCAATATATTGAATCCATTCGACAAAAAGAGTCAGTCTTTCCTTCGTGTCCTTCCTTACTTTTTACTGGTTGGCTATTGATATCTAACATGTCGTATTTCTAATTTTGTATCTAAATTGGCTCTCCCTCCTGCAGCGCAACCGCGACTGAATGCGAAGCTCATCATAATGAGCTGGTTCGACAAGTGATTCAAACCTTACCAATTTCTACTCAGAAAGAGCGTAAAGGTAAACAAAAAGACACTTCCGGTTCTCATTCGAAGCCGAAGGACGATCAAATGAATCTGGACGAAACTGATGAGCTCGGAATGTAAGGATTCCTACATTCCTTTGAAACTCATCTTCTGATCAATTTGATAAGTAGATGAAAGTCCTGTCATTGGCATTGGCTCACACTTACACTGTCTTTTTCTAGCTCATCCAAGACCCGCAAACGGACGAGAGCTTGATCATGAAGACAATCACGTTATAACCAATCCTGTATAGGTCCTTAATCCCAGGTTACCAAAACAAATCGTAAATGACTTTTCCTACCTGCTATCTCAGTCTTAAGTTTGCCAGAAAGTCCTGTAAATGAAGAATAATATATGTATCTTTGAACATTCCATGTGACTTGCTATTTTTCTTTGTGCAGGGAAGAGAACCTATAGCATTGCATGAGAGTGTAGAGTAGTTGGCCATCAAGTGCCTACACTGAAGTATCAATGTTAAAAGATGATCAAAAACACGATTCAAAGTTTTCAGTCATTACTCAGTTTGGTCAGGGCTATGTGCTTTTGGTGAAAGAGACTTACATCTTGTTCTTGTCTCCTCATACAGTATTTGATGAGGTGTTGTAATTTTATACCCTCCACTTTACATCCATTTGAAGGTTCAAAGCCCGCAGAATGTGAAAATACACATTACACCCCGAATATATAATTCTACATCACCCTCTCATTTAACCTGCGTGTAAAGCGGCACGATGTGAAAAGTTGAGCGTGTAAATTTACATTTTTGTCCTCAGTTGAGAGGAATTTTATACACCCAGAAAACGTTAAATTGCATTCATTGATTCAGCCCTCAGCCTTCATCCCATCCAACCCAGCAGCGAATCTCTCAACCCCTCAATGGCAAGGAAAATCTCAAAGAGCGTATCCCATCCACTGAATCGATTAACTTACTTACTACTTTGACATTAGTCCTTACTGGCCTTTATTTAAATGTCAAAAGCTTCTTTGACCTGTTATCCAAGTCAGTAAGGGTCCTTGCACTCACTAAAAGCCTCTCTTACCTTTTTTTTATTTATTGAATATCTTCCATTGACAAGCCCCTATTCTTTCATCTAACGCTCTCCATGCTTGAAACGGAAGGACCCAGTATATCCACCTTACCCGTCATACCGGGGTTCATACCCCCGTCGGTTCTCAGTTCTGTAGCACTGAACTCTAGCGTGTGAAGAACGTCGTTCCATGACCTCCAACGGCAGGACTTAGTAGGAGCCCAACAGCTCACGTGGCCGTGCGGGCTAAACGTCCGGTGCCTGTGAAGAATACACCGACCGTGCCACGTACTCCGACGCCACGCAACGTTCAGGCCGGGGCGTCTTCGGTCGGGCCACAGGTTCCACGTACACCTGTGAAGGCACGACGCGCACAGAGAAGCGACGGAGTGTAGGTAGTAAGCGGTGGACTGATGGGTTATCTCTGAAAGTATGTATGTAATTAGCAAAGAGCATATATGGAGCCTTAGGCTACCACAACTCGGCCTTGTAGAATCCAATGTGCGCAGCTGCCGTAAGCTCATGTGGGGACGGTGGTGCCTTGCTCTGGTAGTCTATATATTCTCCAAGCTTGGGCTGAGAGTGGTGTATGGGAGACACAGAACTCATGCTTTGTTGCCTCCCCCCCCCCCTTTCCGCATATGAAGTTTGAAACTTTGGTTTATATGTGCGTTACCGGTTTATGACTCCTTCCTGATGACTAACTACCACCAACAACAACAACAACAATCAGCTTAATGAGAGCACTTTTTTAAGCTGAAAGAGAGAGAGAGCATAAAAAAAAAAAAAAAAACACAAGGTAAGTAAAAAAAAAAGAAAGAAGAAAAAAAAAAAGGAGCTAGCTACTAAAACTACGACAACGGCAGGACTTGAACCTACGCAGGGAAACCCTAATTGATGATAGACCAATTTATAAATATTATAAAGTCTTAGAAATTTTTAGAATTCTAGTCAATCGCCTTAACCGCTCGGCCACGTTGTCACGATATGGCACGACATGCAAAATGGTCTCATAAAACCTCTTGCGACAAGCTGTCGCACTGGTTGTCGCAGGTGTGGCGGTGTCTCTCCATTTTTCACACTGTCACACAAAACCTTTGCGACACCGCCTTTGGTATCGCAAACTCTTGCTTGCAAGGCTCAGCAAAAAGGAGACGAATGTGGTTCGAACCTGCAATCGGGAGTTTCAAACTCCCATGTCCTAGATTTCAAGTCCAGTAGGAGGGTGTCACCATAACAACTCGCACCGCGGGCAAAGTACCGTCGCATGCTGAAACTCGTCACCTGGATCTCATGCAGCATTTGTCGATTACAGTATGTACGACTTGTGTAATACTGTACAGTGACACCTCCTAACCGTGGGCGACACCTCATAACTGTGGGCAACACCGCCAAACTCCTGACAACACCTCATAACTGTTAGCCACCCATTATATATATCACTTGTCATGCAAATTTGTCTTGGGAAGGAAGATCAGGAGCTAGACAGATCCAGCCATAAGATTGGAGATACATGGTTTTTCTTTTCACAGCACTAGAGAGGGTCCAAACTGTTTGTGGCATGCCAACAAAGCATATATAAAAACTGCCCTTTTTCCTAGGGATGGGTTGATTCCTACCAGTTTCTACTTGTCCTCCATATCTCTATATCAGTGTTTTTCTTCAGCTTCCTCTGTTGCTCTCATTGGTACTCTCAGCACCTTGATTATTCATTTCTGTTTTAATCACCTTTTTCTTACATTCCTCATGGAGTCCCAAGCTTCTCCAGAAGATACTGCTATGGATGGTGATCAATCAGCTCATATTGATTCCACTGCATCAAATTCTTCCTCAGATCCAAACTCCATCTCAGCAATTGTCCAAGAAGCTTTGAGTCACAATTTCTCAAACTCAGCATCCAGCATACAATATGATTCAGCCAATCTATCCTTGTTGCTTGCTTCTGGTGGGTCCTGGACATCTGAAGAGCCATTTTGAGTGACACTGACTCTATTCAATACTCAGCAGTCAGCAAGATGATACTTGAGCTTGTTTCGATGGGATAGATGTTGGCCAGGCACTTTCTTGTCTTTGTCATTGAAGCAGGAACAAATGATGCATTTAGAACATGTGCATATGGGCATGTTGAAGTGTATATGAAGTTGTGTTGATTGGACTAGGGTGTACTCAGAGGTTGTATATGGAGGTGTTGTCAGGAGTTTGGCAGTGTTGCCCATGGTTAGGAGGTGTTGCTGTACAGTATTACACAAGTCATACATACTGTAATCAACAAATGCTGCATGAAGTCCAGGTGACAAGTTCTGACATGTGATGGTACTTTGCCTGCGGTGTTTGACAAAGTGTCTTATGGTAGTTAACTGTGTCACATGACCTTGATAGACCACCTGGTTGTAAACCTTATGCCTGCATGTTGCACACAAAGTTCTTGCATGTTGAGAAAAAGACAGTCATGGCCAAGAGGAGCAAAAGGAGAGCTGGAGCAAATGAACCAGGGAGAACACAAACTTTTCAAGCATCAAAAAGTGACACCAATGTGATCTCAACCCATCCTAGCAAATTTAAACTCTTGTCTGTTAGTCCAAGTAAGACAGTGTGTTTGAGTGGTATGGAGATCCCTTGTTATTAGAATTGAAATCTATTGAAGTCAACCAATGAGTTGATGTCTGCCAATGACTATGCATCAATCCAACCCAGCTGAATCCAAAACTCCACCACTGTCATTGTACCAATAACATCCTCCACCACCATCATAATACCAATAACATCCACCACCACTGTCATCTTGCTAAGGATGTCCCATCCAGTCTACTTCTGTAGAAGGCTGGGAGTTTTAGACTGGCAACCAACAATTTTGAAATCCACAAACATCACTGCCAAGAAAATTGCATCACATAGAGGCATGCTATGTCACATAGCAGGCCAAGATGCAATGCAATAGGTCTATTTTCCAAGGTAGGGACCTTGAAAAATGGTCCATAGTATTACATGAAAACATGCTATGTTACATAGCAAGCTTCCATGCGATGAAAATATATTGGCAGTGCATCCACCCTTGCACACCACTCAAGAATGTGTTTCACCAGATGATCAAGGTATAAAACAGCCTGATCCCTGGTGAGTTTCAATTTTTCATCCTCCTTACCTTTCTTTCATCGTCCTCACATCATACAAGCAGCACCTAACATATCTTTTCTTTGACCAAATTTTTGAAGTGCTTCACATCTTCCCAAATCCAATATGTCTCTAGTTCCTCACACCAACCCCAACACTCCTGTGCATCTGCAACCTGACATCCAGTCTGCCTTAAACCAAGCCCTTGCAGCTCAAAGCCAAGCTACATCCTGACTTTCCTCATCTTCACTATCACTATCACTCACATCCGATTTGATCTGGATAGTCTCATCAGTATCAGAAAGGTCATCATCCTCTTCTATGTCAAGATTTTCAATTGCTTGTGAGACATGTTGTTGAGAAAGCTGATGGAAGTCGGCTGCTTGATGCTTTTGGCAAGTATGGTGTGTCACAAAAGTTCCATTCCATACCTGTTGATTATCATCAGTGAGGGAGTTCAGGATGCAGGGGGAGCAAGTGCATATAACAAGTTTGTTTGGTGGAATTAGGTTGACAAATGACAGTGGTGGAGGATGTTATTGGTATGATGATGGTGGTGGAGTTTTGGATTTGGCTGGGTTGGATTGATGCGTAGTCATTGGCAGATGTCAACTAATTGGTTGACTTCAAAGGACTGGTGGCATACATCAGACCCGCAGTGGTGTATGTCAGACCTGCATGTGTCAACACCCAAATTTGGGTTGGCCTTGAACCCGGGCCAAAACATGGCTCACATCATGTTGGCATGAGCCTAGCAGGCATCAATGTTTTTCCTGCAGTGAGAGTTTAAATCTGCCAGCATGGATTCAAATTGCCTCAGTGTCGCTTTTTGATGCTTGGAAAGTTTGTGTGCTCCCTGGTTTGTTTGCTTCAGCTCTCCTTTTGCTCCTCTTGGCCATGACTGTCTTTCTATCACCATGCAGGAACTTTGTGTGCAACACACAGGCATAAGGTGTACAACTGGGTGGTCTATCAAGGTCATGTGACACAGTTAACTGCCATAAGACACTGTGTCTGACACTGCAGGCAATGAGGTGTCGCATACAGGCTTGTGACAGGCAGACATTTCACATGGTGTGTCACATGCTGTATGTGCAACATATCAAACTTTGACTGCATCAGTTACAGTTGTGTAGCGACAGCCACTCTGCTGTACAGTAGTGTTGTGACATCTCAAATCCCATTCATTCCACTGACTTTTCACTTGCCATTCAACTTTCCTCCATCAGAACCTTCTCATTTTTCATCACCTCCCTGACATAAACCACAGTAACTGCTATTTGAAACATCACCCCCTCCTATGTTGACTAGTTGACACTACACCTTGATCCTGAACAATCATTGAATCATGAGTGGACGCCAGGGTAAGTCCTTTGTTTTCTTTTGAGAACATTCAT